AGAAGAATCATACCAGATATATAGTGAACTTAGTGGATTTTGTTGTAAGTTATATATGTTGTATATGTTTGCATGTACGTCATTGTGTTGCTTTATTTGTGGTTCATGGTTGATCAGTTGTTTAAGTTTTGCTTGCGTTACAATTGCCTTCATGTTTTCTCGTTACTGCAGCTCTCAGTTAAATCTAGTTAGCTTTATGACATGTGCTCTTATTCATATTTGATTTCATGCTTTCGTTTACTCTTGATCCTATCAAACAGTCTCCACAATGATCATGTGAATTTCTGCATTCAGGTTGTTAAGAAGATGCACCACATAAAGTTGGTCTATTATAACTGCACAGCTTTGCTTACAGTGACAAAAACAGATTCTATTCCCTGGATGAATGAAAAAAACATTACTGTGAACAGTCCATTCAGGAACGGCATGTAGAATTATTTTTATTTTGATTTATTATCTTAATACAGTGATTCTAGAAAAAAATGAAAACTTTGGCATAGGAAGAAACAGCTGCGTTATCACCTGTAGGTCCATATCAAGGTTGCACCCATTCAGCTACAGCCAAATACCAAAGCTACAGGATGAAATGACAAGCTTAGCTAAAACTGAAAAGTATTTAAACAGATGACTTCAGATATATATGATCCTGCATGCAGCATGCAATGCAGCATAGTTATGGTTGTTTTTCACAGATCCACTGCAGAGAAGGTGTACATGAAATATCATTCCAACTAGCATTCTCATCATTTCTGATGAGTGCACAGTCCTCTTCACCAAGCACTGGATGTCCACCACCGTTGTCAGGCTGGTTGTTCCCCCAATAACTGGCAGATCAGTGAACAACAGAATTATTACACTGTTTATTTTTGACAAAGGAATCAGAATAGAAACACAAACACAAGCAAGAACAAATGGTTTTAATGGGACCATGAAATGTCTCGTTTCCTAATATTTTTATAGTACCAATGACTATGTATGTTTAAAATCATCTGCTTTGGATGATGAATCCACTGAGAATTATGACTCAACACTGCAGCTCTTTATCATAAAATGCATATAAGATGATAACATGTCAGATATGATGTCAGCTTAGGAAGAGTTAGTTCCCCTTATGTCACAGAAAAACAAGAAAGTACATTTTTAAGATTTAGCCCAGGTAGCATGACTTCATCCACTGTTGTGTAAGTTCACCAATGAGGTTATTTCTGTTNAACAAACAAACAAAAAAGAACCCTGTGAAAACTAGACAGCAACAGCGCCAGAAAGGAAGTAAAGTCGTGACTCGATAATCTGACACTAAATGTAAAGCCTTCTTGCATGTCAAGACGGAGGTCGAGCTACAAGGAGGTCTTGATGCTTGAAGGGTAATTTGTTGTTAATATTTATTGTTTATAGTTGTATAATAACTAGTGTATTGTTAGAAGACTACGCATTGCATCGCATATCCCTTACTGACCAGCATCTGCAAAACTGCTTGCGCATTGCCCTCACAACCTATACACATGACTTCACTGCTCTTGCTAAGTAAAAAAAAAAATGCAATTTCTCTCACTGGATGGCAAATGTTGGGTAACTGCATGCCATTTAACAGTCAAGCAAGCAATGAGGATTGATTTTTGAACAGTATGATGCAGTTAATATATTATTCACCTCATATTATCCACTTACTGTTTTTCTTGAGGTGGAATGGCTCAGCTGGACTGAATATTGAGGTGTCTGATGCAATTTCATCAGTTTAGTCAGTTTCAGTATAGACAGATAAGAAACAAATGTGGTGAAAATCCCTCACTAGATCTCCTTGTGTCTGCATTTTTCTAAAGCAGAGGAACTGCTGAACACTGGCATTGTAAAGGAAGGCCAACTAAGAGATTGTCAATGATTGTTCAGTCTTAAAATTAATGAAGTGATTATTGTTAAATACACTTTGAAGGATTTTGCCTTGATAAAGTATCTTGCACTATTATGTTATAATTCTATTCAGAGGCATACAGTTTTGTTTTGTATTTGTTGGTGCACCAGGAAGTTGT